TTCAAGAAGAAACTTTTGAGTCAAGAAGAGTTTTCAGTACTTCTATTTCCATGATGGTGGAGACAGGCTATGGCTGTTTATTCTGTAGGCTTGCAATATATTCTAATCTGCAGCACAGGCAGTGAAGGGAAGGGCTTGGTTTTTTGAATGTCTGTCTAACTTAGTGACATGTTTCAATTTAGGTCAACAAATTAACAGAAAAAAAAGAGATTTGCTAATGAAATTATTTAATATGTCTGGCTTTTCCCTTCCTCTGATTTTTAGGTTCTTCCTCGGTTTAATGGCAAAGGTGAAGTGTATAAAGCCCAGATAATGAATGTGAGTTGGTCAGCTGATCATCGCATCATCGATGGAGCGACGATGGCTCGGTTCTCTAACTTGTGGAAATCTTACTTGGAGAACCCTGCTTCCATGCTGCTGGACCTCAAATAGAGGAAAACAAAAAAAAGGGATAGAATATGCCTTTAAACTTTGTGGATTAGACTGAATAGTTCTAAAAGCTGTCTCTGCTAACATGTGCCCTTTACTACGTGCATTATACAATAATGTTATGTGGTTCAAAGATCTCAACAGCTGATACCAGTCTATCAATTAGTTGTTACTTTTAATTAGTAGTGCTGTAATTTCTTCTACAGCAGACTGTCAAACTTAATAGGTCACAGCTTCTGAATATGGTGGTGGAATGTCTTTATTTTGCCTGTTGTAGTACGAACGGTTGTCAGGCTGGTGCAGCCCGGTGGCACTGCTCTATATCTGCAGTGTTTAGAATCTGATGAACCTGTTTTGGAGGGGAATACTCACAGTGCTTCCGTTTTGGACACGGAAATTGACTTAAAAAACTAATATACAAATTCCCAAAAGGAGTTATGCAAAAATCATGCACAAATAAAATGCCTTTAATGCTTCTGCTGTAAGATGTCCAGAGAACTTTTTGTTGTTTAACTGACTAAACCACTTAAGTCTTCTGCTAGTCCACTTTTCCCTGGCAATTACTTGCACAGGTACTGCCTATCAAACTATAAGTGAAGAGGCTATATTTATTTAAATACTTACTGATAACACTTATTGATAACTATCAGGGCCTTAATTCTTTCTAGAATATCCTGTATTTCTATAGGCTGGAACTAGTTTCAGTCCTTAATGCTTTCCAGTTATTTTTGTTTCTTATAGAAAGCATCTGTCTGTTAAAACCAAATGAGAAAGAGAAAACAAAGGAAAAAAGAAAAAGAAGGATCTTGCTTTGTTGTTCTGTCCTTGGGTAAGCCTGACACTAACCTGAACATGTTCTAAAAGCTTTATTAATACTAGAATTTGACATATTAATCAGATTAATAAAGAATGGACATCAAAAAATACTACATGAGATAAGGACTTATGAAACTCAGATATGAGGTACATAATGAATAGGTTCAAGTTAATGCCTTCAGAACAGGCAACAGTTATGTGGCTTTAAGGTAAACTAAACAGATGGTGAGGATTGCATTGGTGACTTAACAGGAGATATGAAGGAAACCATTTGGTATAAATACCTTCTAGAAACATTAGTTGCAAACAGACACAAGGAAAGACAGTGACATGGCCTTAAAATGATTTTGTGACGCACAAAATGGACATTTTCTCCTTTCTTTAGATATAGCAAAACCAGACACAGTCTCCAAAAGTGTAGACCAAAGTTGTCTGTTGCATTTAGCTGTGACGATGTGAGACACAGGCTACCAGTGTAGAACCTGCTCTCCTTGCTGCTGAGACTGAGCAAGAGGAAAGCTGGGAATGTAGGAGGGGGAGCATGGAGCATCCATGTAAGGTGCTATTTATATTTCTATTGTGGTATAAGGGTCTTTTATATAAAGGTAATTTCTTGCAAAGTTTGACTAATATATCATGCTTATCACCTATTTCATTTTTATCAGATTTATTTATTCCTAATAAAAAAAATAAAGCCACAAAGAATTGTAGTAATGTTGTTTTTGTTGGTGAATTTTATGCATGCAGTCCTGTACAGGTGACTCAAACTTCCATTTCTTCTTAGAGAACATACTGCACACAAGGCTGCCTAAAGAACTCAGACTAATGGCTACTTTTCTACAAACATATTGTGGCTTAGTCTGAATAGTAGATTTTTTTAATCTGATGATCATTGAGAAAATAAATTGAGGAAATAAAAGTGTATGAAAGAAAGCAATAATGTGACTTCGAAATATTCAAGACAGAATAATTTTACTCGCACAAGGAACCTGAAATTTCTTTGTCTCTCAAAACTCCAATAAATGGGAGGGGTTTGGGGTTTTTTTTTTTAACCTAGCTCTAATTATCTGTCTCTTTAAGATGAGGAAAATGATGTTAGGTTTTTAGTTATGGCTAACTTAGGTCATGAAAAAAGATTGATTATAAAACACTGTGGTGATTGAATCTATAACAAAACTGAGAGAAGAAATGCCTATACAAAAAAAAAGTGTTGGATCATTTCTGCTTTTGCATAACTTTATTACTATTTTTTAAAATGTGTAGAAGACTGAAAGGATTGAAAGCTAAAGTACTTAGTGTCTTTTGAATAGGTGTTGGTGTTCAGGTATTTAGTTGGTTGTGGACTGGAGAGGGTTTTTTTTCGTTATAAAGTTGTATGTGGTAGGGTTATAACAAAATCAGTGATATTTTAAAACCTTCATCTTCACATTTTATACTGCAGTACACTTGGTTAGAATTACCCAGTTTTATGGCTTCTGCTGCAAATAGTGACCTGTGATTCCTGTTGTTTCTTTGTATTTGATTGAAGAACAAAATTCTGACAGAGTTGTTCTCCTTGTATCTTCTCCAAGAGCTCTCTGAAGGAATAGAATGCTAAAGATGTTTGATGATTGGAAGTATGAAAAGGGGTGCGTAAAGGTGAGATAAAGACTGTTTTTCTGTATGGACTTTGATAATTTGCACTAAAATTCTTCAGCAAGAGAATTCTTCAGTAATGAGTAAAATACTTAGTAATACAATACATTTTCTAGTCTATTTAATAGCACTTTGAAGCTTATCTTACAGAGAAACATTACTAGATTAAGCAAGTAGTTGTCATTTTTAATTCAAAACTAGCAGTTTTTTTGTCATTTTTGTTTGAAAATGAGCTCATTGTGGGGCGTAACAAATACTCCTTTGTTCATCTTCACAATTTGTAACTTCTGCTCATGGGAGTCCAGGAGTTTGGGGGAGTCCAGTCACACTCAGCAAACTGGGAAGACTTTAACATTGGTAAATGCTTGTGGGGGGTTGCAGTAGTGCCTCATGTGATGACTTCTATTCTCAGCATAGGTTAAAATTAGAACCAGACTGACATTGCATTGGAGTCTGAGTGAGAGTTCTGTATGGTTTTGGTAGTACAGACAAGAATTGCAATTTATCTCTGCTCCATCCAGAAAGCAATGAGTCACAGAAACGCCTTGAAAACACCAAATAATTGAGGTAAGTTGTTGTTAAACTCTTTCAGATGCTTGGAGGTGAAGTTGTGGGGAGATCTGATTACTTGGGAGTAAATTTGCAGTTGTTCTACAGCCATGCTTGGGAATTCACTTCTGAATTGTTGACGGTGATGGCATGATTATTATGGGGTTTATTTTCTTGACAAATAATAATATCTAAGAATAAGAAGCTTTTGATGGTAGCCCTGAAAAATAAGGCAATTTGAATTGTAACCACTGACAGGAGCAAAACCCCTCGTACATACATAGCATTACTGTTGCATATTGGAAGGAGAAATGGGGAGGGTAATTACTCTGAGTACCTCTGAGAGAGATGCTAATCCTTCAAACTAGTAAATGTGATCACATTTATGCAGGGGAGGGAA